AAAGAGCATTCAGAGATCTCTATCTCGACTCTTATATTCGCGGTAATATTGGGACAACGCTTTACTGTCAATTAAGAGGGCAAGTTACTGTCTGCGGTATCCGTATCGAAAGGTATGCGCCGATATTCCTTCGGCAAGGAGCACCCTTCGAACCACTCGAGACGCCTACGTGAAGGGTTTAGATAACAGCACGCCGGAGAGTTACTCGAAACTTCGCCGCTTCCTTCTTCCGGGGCCAGGCCGCGCCGTTGCTCGTCCTTTTTTCATTCCCGCCGCTCGTCGACCCCTCGCCACCCTATTCCCTCTTGCTCCGCCCCTCCCACCCTCACCTTTTACCCTCCGTGCTCCCGGACGCGCCCGCGAACTTCCAAGCGACAGTTTGACAAAATGCAGATTTCCTTCGTTTCCCTGACAACGATCGGTTTTTCTGCTTTCTCCTCCTTCCCATTTCTTTTTCTTCCTGTTCCTCTTCTTTTTCTTTTTTCTCTCCTTCTCTTCGGTCCTTTCCCCGACTTCGTCGTCCTTCGAGCGGCAGTCTACCGTCCTGCCACCGGCAATCGTCCTGCCCCCTTGCTTGCACTTCCAAGCTTTCGCTTTTCTCTCTGGGCTACTTCGTTTTTCTATCTGTTTTTCTTCAACCGTAGATCTTTGGTCTGCCCGTAGCAGATTCCGCGAGCAATATCCGTAGGAGTTCACCACTAGAAAGACTGAAGTGGTTAAAATGACCGCTTGCGAATTTCAAGCAATCCTTTTATTTGATAGAAGACAGACTCATATAGCACAACACATTGTCCATTCGCAGAAGAGTTCGATCGTTTCAATTGACTACATATGACATTGTAAACCGCTACAGCGCAGTCTATAATAGTCTACGTCGGCTCAATCTGACGGATGCTTTTAAAATGCAGTAGACAAAAAAAAGGGAGAGAGAAAAGAGACGTATCCTCCCGTCAAGTATTTCTCTTTCACGGTAGATGAATCTCGGCGGACGACGTTCCTAAAAAGAGATAAGGGCGAGAAAGGGATTTTTTTTCTGGATGGGTTGACATTGTTGGTTGGACGGCTGGCGCAACTTCTCGCCCTCTATCTCTCTCCTCTTTGTCCTTCTCATAAATAATAAATGGCCAAATGGGGCTTGGCCAGACGGCTAGTACATTTACTTCCGGCTCAACCGCGCATGCTTTAAAGCGTTTCCCGCGTGTCGCGTTTGGAAAATGGAAAAATGGGAGGCGCGTGTCTTATCTGCTGCTTTAAGTGCGCCGGTTATTTTCAATAGCGTGAAAGCGAGCGCTGTCTAAAGGGAAAAATCCAGTCTGTCGTTGCTCGAAAAATCGCCATGCCGCGAAAAATAACTGCATCTTTAGTAACAACGAGTCTGCCATTTTTTTGAAACTTTCTGACGTCAGATTTGTTGTTGTTCTCTGTAGTGAGAAAATATATAATTGCCAGAAAATACGTACATACGATAATAGTTATGCCATTTTAATCGATTTAATAGATTCGAATTTTCCTGAAATAAGTGAGGTACAAAGACATTTTTATAAAGCGTTATATGGAGAAAGACATGTTTTTATTAAAAAAATTTGTTTCTAGACAGAAACTTCAAAATAAAGAATCATTGCCATTTTAAAAATAAAATATCTATTCTATGTGTGCTGTAATTTTTTTGTTCTGCAAAAATTATAAAGTTATGCTTAAAAATGATTAGTTTAAAAATTATTTAATATTGCATATTTGTATTTAATATAATATATTTTATCAGAGTGATAAAATATTCGGGTCAGATCTTTTATTCTACTCCGCAAAAATCTTATGAGAGCATTTTATTGTTAAACATCATTCTCTCTAGTGGGATAATCACAATATTAATTTTATGTTTAAGAATATTTGTAGATTGTATTATTTAAAAAAAAATTGTTTTAATAATTCTACATTTTAAATTAATTAAGTCCAGTTAATACAACAGACTTGTATTAAATTTATACATAGATATATTGAGCATTTGGTACAAAAATTTTAATCAACATATTTTTAAACAAAGGTATACAAATTTCCCGACTGTGTACATCCGAGTAAAATATAAAAAATAATTGCATTAATTAGCATATTTAAAATATAGCTTTTATTTAAAACTGACTTCGGTATTTTCATATGCAGATTTTTTTAAAAATCATGTCTGAATCATATGTCATAAAAACTACATCTTCATATTCCTTAAGACTAATTTCGAAGAAATGTATCAATTAAAATGATTGAGTGTCCTGTATATCGATAATTTATCGATAACAATATCATATGGCAAGCATTGAAGCTGCAAGACGATGCGTGAATCTTTATTTGCATATAACGTCCTTCACAAATGGCGTGAACTGTAGCCGACAATTTACCAAGTGCAGTGAATATACGACCATATGCACGATTTATTACCGTTATTCATACATTTCAACGATCATCTAAAATTCTGCAATTGTACGCTTGTGACCGCGTTTTGTCAACACAGACACTTTTGCGGTGTGAAATGACGGTATCTAAAGCATATATAGAAAATTCCAACTTTATCGAATTTTTTTAAATTAAATGATATGTACCAATTTAACATTAATTTAGAATTTATTTTTCTATGTCAGATTAATATAAAATTGAAATGTTTCCAAATACGTAATTATACATCCAGTTATTATATAATTACTATTTACTTTATATGTTATCTTGTATAAATTAAATTTTGTTTATATTTTTATATCAAACAGTTATATTAATATTTAATTGCAATTTAATTTAATACCTAATTGATTCGAATTTATATAATAATCAATACGAAATATATATAATAATATTATAATATTTCGCTGTAAATAATTAACGAAAACTTTAATCTTAATAGAACGTAATAGAATTTTATTTTTTATAATATCAACAACTATCTAACTTATAAATTAAATAATACACACAAATTTTAAGATTATATCTCATATTAGATTACATCTCATATCTAATATTATCAGATTTATAATTGAATTTGAAATATGTTTAGCTTATTTCATAAATTAAAATCTAATTTAATAAGATTGCTCTATAAAAAATGGCTAAGTGTATTTTATAAAGAAGAGAGAAATGAAAGAAATGAAAAATCAGATTTATAAGGAAATATTAAGCGGAAACTAATTAAATTTTTTTCTTTTCAATTTTAATAAAGAAAAATTAAATTACTAATGAAATAAAACTTACATATTATTTATATGAATATGTAATTTATAACGATGTGTCCTTTAACGATGTGTTTACTAT